TGTATGTACGTATGTATGTGTATATGTTTGTGTGTATGTATGTGTATATGTATGTGTATATGTACGTACGTATGTATGTATGTATGTATGTATGTATGTATGTATGTACGTATGTACGTACGTACGCATGTACGTATGTACGTATGTATGTATGTATGTACGTACGTACGTATGTATGTATGTATGTATGTATGTATGTGTGTATGTATGATGTATGTATGTATGTGCACGCATGGCAGAACAACTGTTGTATTGTACTTTTGTGGTGCTGGTGAACGATGTCCCTTTTTGGAGTCCGCGGGAGTGAAATTCTTCGTTTTTGAATGTTTCAAAGGTTGTCTATAAATGGGAATTTCCTGCAATGACACTTCCTTCTTGTGGGGACCTAGAGACCTATGGAGAAGTAATTCGGGAGGGTCTAGCGCAGCATTGTTGATGCCTTTTGGGCTCACACTGGTCCTCATACTCCTCTTCCTCCTCCTCCTCCTCCTTCTCCTCCTCCTCCTCCTCCTCCTTTCCCTCCTCCTCATCTCTTTCCTCCTCCGTCTCCTCCCACACCTCCCTCCTCCTCACTTCCTTGTCCTTATGAACAACTTTCCCCTGTCGCAACCCGGGGCAAGTCGGAAGGGCGGGCCAGGCGCTTCGCCTGAGAATTCCTTACCATTTGTGAGCCTCATGCCTAAAAACTGGCCGCCATTTGACAAATTAGCGGCAGATCACTTCACGAATGTGACTCTCGCCTTAGCGCCGCGCAGATTTGTTTCACACAACTTGCACGGGTTGCGCAGATTGAAGCAAGGTGGTCTTCAAAATGTGGCTCTCGCCTCAGCGCCGTGCACACTCGTTTTTACAACATTCATAAGAGCGTCACGGATTGACGGCGGCTCGTTTCCAACGGCTCGTTTCCAAAATGTGGCTCTCGCCCCAGCGCCGCGCTCATTAGCTTCAAGAACTTGCAAGGGCTTCACGGATTGAGGGCGGTTCCTTTTCAAGATGTGGCTCTCACCTTAGCGCCGCGCGCATTCGTTTCAAGAGTTAGCAACAGTGTCAATGATTCGCATGAATAACTTGCCAGAAACAATGTTTCGGAGCAGTTCAGGACTGTCAGGGCGCAGATACGTTGAGTCGCGGTGTCGAAATGCCAAGCATGTTTTTTTGGCACGATTCAGGATCATCAAGACGCAAAAATCAGGTTGAGTCGTGGCGCTGGTGTTTCGGCGCGCTTCGGGATTTTCATATGTTCGTCCCCCAACAGCGCACCTCCCTCAGCGGATATGAATCCTTGAATGGGGCCTATGATGAGGGAGCTTGGAGGGAGGGTGTCTTCCAACATTGTTGGCGAATCTTGGTTTTTCAATGGTCCTCATCCTCGTCATCACCATACTCATCACCGTCATCATCATCATCATCATCATCATCATCATCATCATCAGCATCATCATCATCATCATCAACATCATCATCATCATCATCATCATTATCATCATCAGCAGCATCATCACTAGAATCATAATCATCATTATCATTATCATCATCATTCTCATCATCAGCAGCAACATCACTAGAATCAGAATCATCATTATCATCATTATCATCATCACCATCATCATCATCATCATCATAATCAGCATCATCATCATCATCATCATCATCATCATCATCATCATCATCATCATCATCATCATCATCATCATCATCATCTCCCTCCTCCCTCCTCCCTCCTCCTCCTCCTCTTCCTCCTCCTTCTCCTCCCCCTTTTCCTCCTCCAGCCTGACCCCCCGCGCGGGGGACCCCCTCGCCCTCGACCCTCGACGAGGGCCTCGCGGGCTGCACCTGGAGAATGGGCCAGACGGTGAAGCCTGGCGGTGCGCGTACTTGTGCCCTCCTCTTCCTCCTCCTCTTGGTTCCTGGTGGCCATAGAAAAGAGTTCACCGAACGCGGCCTGCCCCCACACGTCCCCACACCCAGCAGCGGTCGCTACTTGGGGGGGGGGCGACCATTCTGCGGGCCCCTCCCCCCCGCAACACCGCGTGGCGCGCCGGGCGGGGCCTGCGCCGAGGGGCGGGGCGCGGATCCTCCTCCGTTCCTGGTCCTTATGAACAACTCCTCCCTGTCGCACCCCGAGGCCGGTCGGAAGGGCAGGCTGGGCGTTTCGCCTGAACCTTCCTTACCATCTATGGTCGCAGAGCTTAGGAATGGGCAGCACCTTCACAAATGGAGGGCGGGCCGCTTCCAAAACGTGGCTCTCGCCTTAGCGCCGCGCATCAGTTCTCACGGATTGAGGGCGGGCCATGTTCAAAATGTGGCTCTGGCTTTGGCGCCGCGCGCAGTTGTTTCTTCTAAAACTGAAAGAGCCTCACGAATTTCCATGGTTAACGTGTCGGAAATAATGCTTTGGAGCGATTCAGGAACGTCAGGGCGCAACACTTACGTTGAGTCGCTGTGTCGGAGTCCCAAGCACCGCGTTGTGGTCGTCTAGACGCTGCAGTCAGGTTGATTCGTGGCGTTGAAGTCCCGAGAGTAATGTTCTGGCGCTTCAGGATCTTCAAACGCGTGTCGCTCAACGGGGCACTTCCCTCAGTGGAAATGAATCCTTGTAGGGGCCTAGGAAGTGGGAGCTTGGAGGGAAGGTGTATTCCCATATCGTTGATGAGTCTTGGGCTTACAATGGTCCTCCTCCTCCTCCTTCTTCTCCTCGTTCTCCTCCTCCTCCTCCCTCCTGACCCAGGCCCTCCTCTCCATCCCAGGCCAGCTCCAGCCTCCTGTTGAAGCTGGCCCGTGGCGTCCAACTCTGGCAGAAGCGGGTGGCGCCGGCTAGACACGACACGACACACAAGCCTCTTACGCCACCACATGCCAGAGCCATTGCTCTGCCTGGCCTCCTCCACTACCGTCGCCATCACCGTCACCATCACCATCACCATCACCATCATCAGCAGCATTATCATACGCATAATTGGTACAATTGTCATCGTAGTCATCGTCGTCGTCAAGGTCATCATCGTCATCAGCAGCATCGTCGTCATCGTCATCGTCGTCGCAGTGGTTGACGTGATCATCACCGTAGTCGTGGTTGCTGTTGTCATCATCATCATCATCGTCACCAGCAGCCCGTCATCAGCATCGTTGTCGTCATCGTCACCGTCATCATCACCACCTTGATCGTTGTCGTCGTCGTGGTCGTCATGATCATCGTGGTCGTCGTGGTCGCCAACATCATCAGTGGAATCCTGGGAATCATCATCATCATCATCATCGTCCTCGCCATTATCATCACCATCAGTATCACCGTCGTCGTTGTCATCCTCGTCGTCAGGATTATCGTAGTCGTGGTCATCGTCGTTATCATCATCATCATCATCATCATCATCATCATCATCATCATCATCAATCATCATCATCATCATCGTCATCATCATCATCATCGTCGTCGTCGTCGTCGTTATCATCATCATCATCATCATCATCATCATCATCATCATCATTATAATCATCATCATCACTACCACCACCACCATCATCATCATCATCATCGTCGCCGTGGCCATGAACATGATAGTTATCACCCCACCACCATCATCATCATCGTGGTCGTCGTCGTCGTGGTCGTCCTCGTCGCCGCCACGATCGGCATGATCATCACTGCGGTCATAAACACCATCATCACCACCACCATTAACATCATCATCGTCGTCATCATCGTCGTCGTGGTCATCCCCGTCATCATTATCATTAGCAGCAGCGTCCTCGTCATCTTCCTCACCACCACCGCCATCATCATCACCATCATCATCATCTGAATCAGCATCTTTGAGGTCGCGTCATCGTAGACGCGGCCGTGGCTTCATCATCATCATCATCATCATCATCATCATCATCATCATCATCATCATCATCATCATCATCGTCATCATCATCATCATCATCATCACCATGGTCATGATAATCATCATCGTCATTATCATCAGCATCATCATACTCATCATCACTATCATCATCATCTTGATCATCATCATCATCATCATCATCATCATCATCATCGCCATCATCATCATATTCAGCATCATCGTCATCATCATCATGCCCATCATCCTCATCGACGTCCTCACCGACATCACACTACAAATCTTCATCATCGTAAGCATCGTCATCATCATCACAAGTACCACCACCATCACAATCATTAGCATCACCGTTGTCCTCGTTGTGGTCGTCGTGGTCGACATCATCATCATCTTCTTCATCATCATCATCAGCATCACCGTCGTTGTCATCATCATCATCAGCATGAGCATCATCATTAGCATAATCAACGCATTCGTGATCGTCATAATCAACTTCATCATCATCAGCAGCATTGCCATCATTGTCATGATCATGCTTATCATCATCAGCATTATCATTATCGTAGTCATCACAATCATCATCACATTAAACATCGACATCATCGTCAGCATCACCATCGTCATCATCACCACTGCCACTGCCATCACAATCATTATCATAATGGTCGTCCTCGTTGTGTTCGTCGTGGGCGGCATCATCATCGTTATCATCGTCGTCGTGGCAGTAGTCGTCATCATCATCGTCATCATCACCATCATCATCAGCATCATCATCATCATTATCAGCGTCATCGTAGTCGTGGTCATCGTCGTCAACGTCATCAGCATGGTCGTCATCATCACCACCACCACCAACACCACCACCACCATTGTTAGCATCATCGTCATCATCACCACCACCATCATCATCATCATCATCGTCATCATCGTCATCGTCATCGTCATCGTCATCGTCATCGTCATCGTCATCGTCATCATCATCGTCGTCATCATCACCACCACCCTCATCATCAGTATCATCATCATCCTCATCTTATCGTCATCATCGTCATCATCGTCATCAGCATCAGCAGCAGCATCGTCGTCGTGGTGGTGATGGTCGACGCCATCATCGTCGTCGTCGTCGAGGCGGCGAGCCCGCTGCCCGCTGCGGTCCTCGGGGCACGCGAAGTGGTCCTCCGCCACCTCAAGCCGTCGGAGGACCAGGCCCCTCGCGGGCGCGCTCCCTGCGGGCGGGGGGTGCCGCCGACGTCGTCGCCGCCGCCGCCGTCGCCTGTGGCCGTCGCCGTCCCGTCGTCGTCGTTACGGAGGCTCGAGGCCGTTTCTGGAGGTTCTCCTCCTGGAGGCTCTCGTCGCCACGGCTGGACGCAGCTCGAAAAACATTGCCAGGATGGACTCCTGAAGGGGCCTAGGGACAGATTTCAAGGATTTGGGGGCGACGACGACGACGACGACGACGACGACGAGCCCAGACGGGAGCTTTGGCAAAGAGGGGGAGGAGAAGGAGGAAGGGAAAATGGATCGGGAGAGAGAGAACGGAAGGAGGGGGAGAGGCCAGGAAGGATACGAAGGGTGGGGGGGGAAGGATTGGGATCGAGAACGGGGAAGGCACAGAGAAGGGAAGGAAAGGAAAATGTGGTGCAGCAGTGTCTATCTCTCCTGTTTCCCCCCGGCCTCGGCCCCGGTCCCCGCTCCGGCCCCACCCATGCTCTGTTTTCGGTTCAGGCCCCGGCCCTGGTTTTGGTCCTGCCCTCGGCCCCAGCCCCGGCCGGTCTCGGTTCGGGCCCCAGCCGCGGCTCCAGCTCCCGACTTGGCGTCGCATATCTGGCGCCAGCTCCAGCCGCAGCCGCGGCTCTGGCCCTGGCTTCTCTGAGATAAGACAGATCTCCCCCGACCGGAGCCCTCGACCCCATCTTTCCTGCGCCCCTTTTGCGACGCGCGTCGATCTGTGAAGGCCCCGGGGCCCGAGAGAAGGCGATCCCCCCCCAGCCCCCCTCGCTGCCCGCGCTCCGGCGCCGGCCTCGGCCCGCCCCGCGGCCAGGGCCCGGGCCCCCGCGCCGGCCCTGCCCCCCTGCCCTGGCCGCGGCCCCGGCCGGCCCCAACCCCGGTGTACCGATCCGGGTCTCTGTTTTTCGGCCCCCTGGCCCCCCGCAGCGGCCCCGGCGTCGGCCCTGGCCGCGGCCCCAGGCCCAGCCTCAGCGCCGGGTCCCAGCTCTGGACCTGGCGGCAGCTCTGTCCCTGGTCCCGGCCGCGGCCCCGGCCCCGGCCGTTTTTATGCAGGATGGGGTCGGCAGCGGCGGTCGGAGCAGGCAATGCGAGTGGACCCAGCGTCTTCGAGCGCATCTTTGCGTGCGGAGCAGCTCGCGATGCGGAAGGGGGGGTCGACGAGCATGCGGTCGAAGCAGCTGAGCAGGAGCAGTGGCTGCTGTGGAAAAAATGTTGCGTGTCTTCTCGGAAGTTACGCCGCTCACGGCGGGAGGCCAAATGGGCGCGTCGGACGGAGCAGGCGGCTGATTGGAACGAACAGATTGCAGCAAGTGGCAAGCATTTCCCGCATTTCCCTTCACGCTTTCCCTCTCTTGCAAGCGCCTCTGGCCCCCCTCCTCCCACTGGTGCCGTCGCGTCCGAGTTATTGCGGTGTCGCGGTGTAATGGTTCCCAGCGTCGCGGCTGTGGATTATCCGTTACCTCGGCTCTCAGCTCTAGCCTGAGGTAAGCCTTGTCATCGGTTGTTGTTTAGATTCCAGCCACAAGTGCAAGCACCAGCCTTAATGGTGTCTGGGTGGCGTGGCCTCGGCTTCGGGGCAGGTGCAATAAATCAGCCTGCGGCCGATGAATACACTTGGGATTGCAGCTTGTGCCACACGTGCCTCAATACCAGCTTTGTAAGTACCGTTAGTTTTTGCCGCAACTCCATGTGTAAGCCCAATGTTTCGTTAACAGTACTAGCATCTGTACGGTTAGCTTCAGCCTAGAACCATCGCTCGCACTTCGCCTGCGTTCTGGGCCAACTGGTATCAGGGCCTACTATACGGCGCGGAAAAGAGACCACGCCCGAATACACGAGAACCGATTATTTCAAAGCTAACGCACTGTTTCCTGGAGGCGCGAGTAGGAGCTCGGATTTGGGTGAGGGGCGCACGGCAACTTACATGTACAAAGGCGTGTAAGCATATGCTCCCCCCCCGTTGTCCCCCCCCGTCCAAGCGCTCTCCACCAGCCAGCGGCGGACGAGGGGGGAAGGGATGGAGCGGGCGGGCAGGCGGGCCAAGGGGGAGGCAGCGGAAGGGACATCGGAGAGCGGACCGGGGGGGGGGGGGGAGGCGCGGACCGAGAGTGCGTCTTAACGGCGAATTCATTCAGCAGCGTAGTGTCGATAGCTTAGTGCCAGCAGCGTAGTGTCAACAGCGTAGTGTCAACAGCGTAATGTCAACAGCGTAGCGAGAGGAGTGAGAGGACCGAGAGCGAGGACGGGAAGCCGTCGCGCGTGCGCCGCCGACCGCAGAGCGCCCTGCAGGGCGGGGGAGCTCTCTCTCCCTCTCTCTGGGCAACAGGGCGGCTCGCGCAGGGGGGCGCGGAAGGCCACCTGGGGCGGCTGTGGCGGGGGCCTGGGCCGTGGGCAAGACGCTGAGACCAGCGTCAGGTCGGGCATGTCCTCCCACAGGCTGATTTTTGGGAGAAAATCGCAACATTCTTTTTCCTTCAAACCTGCCAGAACAATGGTCAAACATTGTCGAAAAATCGTCCCCAGACTATGTTCACATCATGTTTGAACATTCCTCCTGTGGGGGGGGGGGACACGCCCGACTCAAGACTGGCGTTCCCAGGAGGGCTCGATCCCGCGGCGAAAGCCCGCGCGGCAGCGGGTGCGCGCTGGGCGGCGGGGGCGCGCCTGAGGCTGCGGAGGTGCGGGCTGGCGAGAATTCGCCTGAGCGACGAAAGGAAACGAGCGGGTCTTACGCAGGTTGACATGGCGACCTTGCGCCGCGGTTTACGCGGGCCGCCAGCGCGGCACGCCACATTCAGGGCAACGGCGCTCACGCGCGACCTGACGCGGCCAGTTTACGCGCCGATGCCGGCGCAGACGACCCCGTTTTTGCGTTGCTCACCTGGGTCCTGCGAGCCTCTGGAGATCTTCGTTTCGACTCTGGCACGAAGGCCTTGGATGGCTTTGGCGGGGACTGGGCCGCGGACAAGACGCTGAGGATGTGCGGGTGGGCGACAGTGCACCTGGATCCTGCGAGCCTCTGGAGATATTCGTTTCGACTCTGCCTCACGCTGCGTTCAGGGCAGCAAACAACTTCACAAACGCAGGGTGTTCCACTAAACGCGGCGCCCACTTATCCCCAGTGTCGCAAGCGCCACGGCAACTACCTACACGTCGAGCACTGTGAAGAGATCTGCCTCCGATAGGAAAGCACCCACGCAAACTCTCGCCATGAGACAAGAAATCCGCCGACCCCTTGTGGGTTTCTAGGCGTGTGAGATTATTCCCCCCATAAGCCCCCCCTGGGACCCCAAACCGGCAATTCGACCCAACCACCCCCTCACGACCCACCGCCGAACGCGCCATGGGGGAACAGAGGGCCCCGAAACGAGCCAAAAGGGTACCGAAATGCCTCGCTGACCGTCCAAGAGGGCGACGAGTCGCCGAAATATAGACGCCCACGATGGCTTCCAGACAGCCTCCGAAGCCTCCAAGACGACCCAAGAGGCCCCCAAGAGGCGTCCCGAGCGAGCCCCAGGAAGCAGAAATCGTCTCATTCCTTTCGTACAACATTCATTTTTACCATATTGGCCTCTTGCGGTTTCGCAACGTCCGACACGGGCCATGAAACCCTCCATATCCTCCCAGGACGGCCTCGGCAACTGCCGAGAGAGGTCCAAGAGGGCCCAAAGACGGCCCAAGAAGCGCCCAAAACGGCCCACGAGGGCCTCCATACGGCTCCAAGAGGGTGCCGAGAGGGCAACTTGTTGGTCCTTTGGCTCTGAGATTCCCTTATCCTGCAAGAACCTCCCAAGAGGGCCCCAGGGAGCCCCAAGCGAAGCCCCAAAGGCCCCCAACAGGCTCCCAGACAACCCCCAAGAGGCCCATACACTACCTCCAAGACGCCCCCATGACGCCTCAAGACCAGATCGTGACTCCTCCTCCTCCTCCTCCTCCTCCTCTTCTTTGACTCCCCTTCCGCCTCTCCCCCATCTTCCCCCTGCTCCTCCTCCTCCTCCTCCTCCTCCTCCTCCTCCTCCTCCTCCTCCGCTTTCACCTTCTTTGCGTTTCTCTTTTCATCGGCTTCGGCCTCCCTCTCGCTCGCACCCCCGCTACTCCTACTTCTACACGCCATGGCACGGGCGCCCTACTGGTATCATTTGCATGCCGTGCATTTCAAGGTGCCCGTCTTCTCTCTGAAAGGCCTGCCAACTGCGCGACGTGAGCCCTCCATACACCGAAAAGCACCATCAAAGCCTTGAACTCAATAAAGGGGTCGGCGGATGTGGCGTAAGCCTATAGAGTCATTGTGTACGCCGAGCGACCGAAAATGTTGTAGAACTCGTGACAAGGCGGTCGGGGCGATCCCGAGCAGCACGCTAAGATCTCATGATACGGTCGAAGCGACACATTGCAATTCACGTTTGGGAGCCACTTCGCATGATCCCCCTTCGCTCCCACAGCCTTTATATGGAACAAGCGTTCCGGGAGAAGCGGGGCCGGACGAATCATGAGCCCAACATCTCGAACGCAATACTTGCCAATGTTACTGCTAGGGGGGGAGGGGAAATGCTGTTCTTTCTAGTTTGGGCGTTGTTGTTGCAAGGTTGTTGCCATCGACTCTCGGAGGCGCGCGTCCCCTTGTTCGGGGGCGCGAGGCTGACCTTGTGCCACGAACGGATTGTGCTAAAAATGGGATGGGAGAATTCATGTTACGTTGTTCGGATAATCTCCCCTTGCTGAGACGCGATTCGTGTTTTTGTATCGAAAGTGGGGGGGGTCGTCCAAGACAGTAGCAATTGAGGAATTATGTCGTAAAACAGCGGGGGGGGGTCGTTCTTGTGTTTTCAGCGGCCGCCAAACACCCCAAAGAAAGGCTGCGCCGCGTGGCCCCGCCCCCGCGTTGGAACACGCGCATGTTTTAACACACCCCTCGCTTCCCAGATCACATACCTTACACCACATAGCTGAACTACACAACATACAGTATGTCTTTGAGTGGAAGAGCATGGATCCAATTGATCTCCATCGAGGGTGTACGAGGGTCACGTGGATCCAATATGTCAATCGTTTGGGTACAATGTCTTGGCGCTGCGTAACCGTAACCCCACGCGATACTTCGAACACCTACATGTACATACCTCTACCATATGTGTGAACAGAGCTATTCAACGATGTAAACATATGTTATGTATCAATGTTTATACACATGTGTGTACGATACGATGCATTCAAAGTGCACACGAGGAGCTGGATCCACAGACCCTTGGACCTGCAGGCCACGATTATGAACGAGCCACCGTGCCGACGGCTGGCGCCAGCCTCCCCCCCCGCGGACGAGCCATTCCACGCGCAGCTTATGAGGCCCGTGCAGACTGCTTCCGTCGGCGCTGGACCCTGGTGCGCGAAGCGCGCCAGGAGCGGCGCCGCAGTGCTGGGGGGGGGGGGGGGGGGGGCGTGCCGACCCAAGAACTCTGGGTGGACCTGCGAAAGGACTGCGTTCGTGCCAGTTGGGTTTGGTTGCTACGATTGAACTTTCGTGGGTGCCAGTCTGGGCCGCGAAAGCCTGTGCTCCCACAGCAGGCACCCACCTCAAGAGAGGCTGCCGAAGCTGACGCCTCGCTTTTGCTTCCGCCCCCCCCCGCCGACCTTCCGCCCGCGGACTCGCCGCCGTTTTACTCTGGGCGCGCTACCCCCTGCTGCGTCGGGCTGTGGAGACTGGCTGAAAGCCTACCGCAGCCGCGGCGCGGCACTATGCTTCCGCCGGCATCCGCCCACGTATCCACAGGGGGTGCCGCGCGCCAAGAGGCTCTGCCGGCGGTGGCCAGACCAAGCCCCCGCGCCGCGCCGACGACGAGGACGGAGGGAGGGGGGGTCAACGCCAATGGTGTGGACCTGGCGAAAAATTATGCAAGGATTCTGCTTTCAAACCATCAGAGACTCGAGAACGAAGACGTGCTGCGAAACGAAGCCTACTCTACCCCTACCCCCAGGCGTCTCCTGGGCGAGGAGGACCAGGTCTGGGAGCCCTTCTTGAGGTGGGTGCCTGCCTGAGCCGCGAAAGTGGAAGCAGCAGCAGCAGCAAGACGACGACGACGACGACGACGACGACGACGACGACGACGTCGACGACGACGACGACGACGACGACGACGACGACGACGACGAGGAGTCCTCGATCGGCGGGGCGCCCGCGAGCCCGGGCGGCCCCCCGCTGGGAGGCCCGGGGCGCGGTGGCGCCGCAGCCGTCTGCGGCGCCCACGCCGCCACTGCCAAGCCTCCGCCGCACCTGCGGGGCGCCGGTCTTCGACGGGAGCGGCAGGCAGAGGGCGGCGAGACTGCGGCGGCGAAGGCGAGAAGGCCGCGGAGGCCCCTCGGGCGTCCCCAGGGGTTCTCGCCGCCACGGCGGGGAGCGGCCCCGGAGAGCGGGGCAGGATGGGCCACGGGGGGGGGGATCTATGGGCTGAAAATGAGCGGGCCGCGGTGGGACGGCGACGACGACGACGACGACGACAACAAGGCAGAGGACGCGGATGGGGGGGGGACGAGGAGGAGGAAGAGGAGGAGGAGGAGGAGGAGGAGGAGGAGGAGGACGAGAAGGACGAGAAGGACGAGGAGGAGGAGGATCAATTTTGTGTTCGCACCGGACGACACTTGCCGCATATAGTCTCGTGTCAGCGGGCTCAGGGCCCGGGAGAAAATATGACCCAACAGGCTACCAGCTCACTCACACTCGGGAAATGGCAAGCCAAAGGAAGCACGATATCCTCGTACTTCAGCAGCGCGGCACGCGCGCCTGCAGGGGGAGGCGATTGGCACGAGTCTATTAACCTGCGGCGCGGACACGACACCCGGCGAGGGGATGAGAGGACCCCGCACTGGCGAATCGGGCGCCAGGCCGTCTGAGGTCTGAGGACGCCTTCCTCGCGGAAGCCCCCCTTCCAATAAGTGGCGACAAGGAACCAGACCGATCAATAAAGAGAGAAAGAGAGAGAGAGAGATAGAGAAGCAGAAAGAGAGAGAGAGAGAGAAGAGAGAGAGAGAGAGAAAGAGAAAGAGAAAGATGAATAGAGAGAGAGAGAGAAACAAAGAGAGAGAGAGAGAGAGAGGGAGAGAGAGAGAGAGAGAGAACAAAAAAAGAGAGCGAGAGAGAGAGAGAAAGAGAAAGAGAAAGGGAGAGAGAGAGAGAGAGAGGGAGGGCCAGAGAGGAAGACAAAGAAAGAGAGAGAGAGAGAAACAAAAAAGAGAGAGAGAGAGAGAGCGGCTTGTGGACCGCCCGCACGCCGCCCGAGGCGGGGGCAGGAGCGGCCGGCCGGCCGGGGCGGGTGGAGAGCCAGGGGCAAGAGGCAAACGAGCCCATACCTCGCTCTTGACCACCCTCGCTTCCCGACGGGAGCCCAGCGATGCCAAACTGCCCGTGGGGTGGCCCGCAGCGGTCCGGCTGCTTCTCGAGGAGGCGCGTGGCATGGCCTGGTTCTGCCTGGAAGGGGAACAAAAAGTGGCATAAGCATAAAAACTCTGAGGTCCGCGCAGATTTCTCGGATCGGCGCTGGGGCTCCCCGGCGGCGCCTCCGGCGCCGCCCCTGGCGCGCTCCGCGCGCCAGGGAGGGGGGTATCCGAGAAATCCGCGCGGACCTCCGAGTTCTTATGTTTATGTATCTTTTTAGTTCCCCCATGGAAGCGAGGAGGTGGGCATTTTCACCCTGTGGGGGGGGGTCCACCGTCGAAGCGGGGCGCCCTGGGCAGACGTCCAGGGCGGCCGTGGACCACCCTGGCCTTAAGTCGGGCATGTCCCCCTACAGGGGGATTCCGGTATGGGCGAAAGACAAAAAATACTCAAAAAATACCCCCCAAATGCTCAAAAAATCGCCCCCAGACTATTTTTTGACTATTTTTGAATTTTCCCCCTGTAGAGAGACAGGCCCGACTTAACCCTGGCCGCGCCCACACCAAAAGCAATGCCGAGGGGGCCCCTGCCTCCCTCGACGGGGGGCGAGGGGTCCAGCTCGGGCCGACGCCACACCTCGGCTATGCGCAAGAGTGACCCTGGGTAAGAGTGACCTTCGGTGCGCGGCTTTTTGGGGGGCCGCGGGGGGGCCAAACCTGGGCGCGCAAGCCGCTGCTACCGCTTCGTCTTCAGCCATCTGGGGGCCCATCTGTGCCCGCACCAACGGTCACTCCAGCGAAAGGTCACTCTTACGTCTAGTCGAACACCTCTCTGCTCACCTTTCTCCACCCCCTCTCCACGCTGCACTGGCGCCACTCACAATCGACCCGGCCAAACATGGACAGGCGCGCTCCACTGCCCGCAAAGTGACTGCTCGCAAGTGGCCTGGATCCGCCGCGGGGGATCAACGATCCACCACATCGAGGCAGACCTGTGCTTTCTGGACGCTTGCGAGCAGGCGCCCTGCGAGTAGTGGGACGCGCCCGGTGAATACAGGCAATCACAGGGGGGATGCCGGCGGCAGAGGGCGAAGCCCTCTCTAGATCTGGGCGCTCCTGCCTGCGGTGTGGGCTGTGCGAAATCGCTTGGTCCATGTGCGCCATCAGCACCGAGTCGGTATGCAGTAGGAGCTCGACCACAAGAGGCCTTCCACAGGAAGCCAAACCCTGAGACCCCAGGACGTCCTTTGCTTTCTGGCGTGGGAACGCCACGCTCCCCACAGCAGACCCATCGAAACCCAACAAAACCCAGGGCACCCCGGAGGCAAGCAGGGTGCTTCTTGGCATGGGCTTCCACTGTATGGCTCAAACACCTTCGAGGGCTCCGCTCCGGGGTGCTCCTCTGCCCGCGGCCCCTCGCGGCAACTCCCCGCGTCTACGCCGCCGGCCCCCACAGGCTCTGGCGGTTGCACGGCCAGCCCCAGGGATGGCTCCCAGGACGGCCCCAAGACGGAGCCAAAATTACCCAATGCGTAAGACGAAGCCAGGACGAGGATAGATTCTGGGGAGGACACCTCGAGAATCTCTGAGATCTGGCGGATCTGAGATGTCTCGGGCGCCGCGGCCTTCTAAAAGCGATCCAGAGCGCTCTGAGAGCGTTCCAGGACGCTCTGGAACGGATTTATCCTCGTCCTAGCCCCGTCCGACTGCGGTTCCAAGACTGCCCCGAGACGGTCCCAGAGAACCCCGAGACGGCGCACAGGCCAAATCACTAGTTTATTCACGTTTCTGGAACATCGTCGCTTTCTAACCTTTTCGAACTCAAAACGCCCAAGACGGCCCAATAATCCCCTGAGATCACCTCAAGATGGACCAAGAAGCCCCCGAGATGGCCCAAGAAGGCCCCAAGACAGCTCGAGCAGCCCCCAAAAACATCCCAAGCGGCTTCTTAGAGGGCACCAAAGAAGCCTAAGTAGGGGTACGACACGTTTGTGTCGTGCCGACTTCGGCGTTGGTCTGTGACACCGCGGGGATCGTTCAACCATGAACGATCGGCAATTTCCGAAGCGTCAGATGGTTCATCATCGTCCGATTCTGGGTCGCCAGCGGCGTTCAACGTTGAACGCTGGCGGCGGCCGAGGAGGCGATCTCGAGCGGGGGCGAGCGAGGGGGGGACGTGGGAAGGGGGGGGCCCTCTCAGAAGGCGCGGACGTCCCCCAGCCGCCTGAGAAGTTCTCTGAGCCGTCCCCGAAGACACAGAAAACCTCGCAGAAGGCGCGAGGTCTGAGAGGTCCCGCCGCCTTCTATCGGGGACGGCCAAGACGGGGGCGTCCAAGAGGGGGGGGCGCGAATCATGGCCGGCGGCACGTGCGCGGCCCAAGGGGGGGGCCGGGGACGCAGCGAAATAAGAAGAGTCGACATGAAATCTGGGGAGATCTCATGGCCCCTGCCATGACCCTAGTCATCACCCCCCCTCTTTGTCGCCCCGGATTCTGAGAAGGCCGTCTCCTTCGCAAGTCCCCGAAGACAGAGAAAACCTCCCCGAAGGCGCGAGGGCTTCTGTCGGGGGCGCGCAAACATGGATTAGCGATCCATGGATTCGGCTCGCGGTCGCCAAATCCATGGATCGGGGGAGATGCCCTCCCCTAAATGCGGCCAGCGCCGCCTTGCTCGGCGGCGGACATCCGCGATTCCCCACGGAAGCGGGACCCGTCGCTTATCCACGCCCCCTTGATCCATGTCTGCGATCGCCTGACTCTGAGAGGCCCCGCCGCCTTTCGACGGTGGACAAACCTCCCTGTAGCAAGCCTCCCTTTAGTGAAAACGACCTGGGACCGAAACCGACGGACCTGGACCCGCTAAACAATGACGGCCGCGACGCCCTCTCGCGGACCGAAAACGGCCGATTCGCTAATCGACGTGTCAGGGTAGGAGGTCTATCAACCTCCGACTGATTCTGAGAGGCCCCGCCGCCTTCCGAGAAGGCCTTATCTTTGGAGTCCCCAGACGGTGCGGTGACGGACCGTGCGGTGACCTCGAAATCCCCCAAGACCTCACCGCACGGTCCGTCACCGCACGGTCTTGGGACCCTGGAGGCCCCCGTCGCCCGAGACGCCCTCGGAGAAGGACCCGAGTCCCAAGACCGTGCGGTGACCACGAATCCCCACCGACTCACCGCACGGTGTGGTCACCACCGCACCGTTCGGGGCCCCCCGATTCTCCTCCGCCTTCCGAGAAGGCCTTCTCCCTCGCTAGAGGGAGAGAGAACTGTGCACATACACACCGATTCTGGCCAGGCCCATCCTGAGCCCAGCCTCGGGGCACACGCCCTCCTGCCTTGGCCAGGAAGGCACATGCACCGATCCTGGGCCAGGGATGGACGTTGCTGGGATCGGGCGAAAGGGCCAGGAGGAAGAGGAGGAGGGGGAGGAAGAGGAGGAAGAGGAGGAGGAGGGAGGAGGAGGAGGAGGGAGGAGGAAGAGGAGGAGGAGGAGGAGGAGGAGGAGGAGGAGGAGGAGGAGGAGGAGGAGGGGGATGGGGAGGAGGTAGCTCCCTTCGCCCGATTCGCACGCCCCCCCCCCCCCCCGGCGCGCCGCCGAAGGTGCTGCTGCTGGGATGTCACGCCTCGGGCCTCCGGCGGCCGTGCGGGACGGCCCGGGGCACCCGCGGGGGACGCCCCTCGGCGAGGCGCAGCCGCTGGCGAGCATGAGGTCGGGCATGTCCCCCGACGGTGGCACGTCGGTCGGAAGAGGTACACCCTGCGAAATGCTTAAGAAATCATGGGTTAAGAAATTCATAGTCTCAGAATTTGGAGAAAAAACCCAAAATGTCTATTCAAATCTTAGGATTCACATTGCAACATTAAGAATAATCGAGACTCTGGCAGAAAACTTAGGTTTTCTTAAGCATCGCCTAAGGTGTAGGCGGAAGCATGAAGCAGGAAGGCGCTGAGCACAGATTGGGTATCCGCCCGCCCCCGAAAGAGGACGGAAAAGGCGAAGCCACTCGATCATTGAAGCAGGAAGGCGCTGACATTAGATTGGAACCTGGGGCTCACAAAATACCTACTTTCAACGGCCGATGGGTATGTTGCCCCCGTCGTGCTTTAAGGACCACATCCCAGAAGTAATCTCGAGCACCCAGAGAAGTGTCGAAGGAGTGTCGAAAGAGTGTCGAAACAGTGTCGGCCGAGTGCCTCCCAGGGCCCGGCGCGGGAAAACCCACGAGTTTCGGTACTTTTCTGTTGCTCGAAATTCTTCCTGGTGATCAAGGCTAAAGTTGGAACATCATAACCCTACAGGCGGATTTTGGAAGAAAACATGAGAATACCCCAGACATGCCCAAAACTGATCCAAAAATGGTAAACAAAATCGTCACCATGCTACTTTTGGACTCTCTCTGAATGTTCTCCTGTAGAGGGACGTGCCCGACTTCAGGCAAAGCATCCCGAGGCTGGAAAGACGCCGAGAGCCGGCGAAAGCGTTTGAAAACAAAACCTCGAACCTCGAAGTTCGAACCTCGAAGTCCGCCCCCCCCCCCCCCCTCGCTTGCCAACGACTCGAAGGCGAGGCCCCTTCTGGAACGCCTCGTGTGGAGCCCCGCCTCCCAGCCGCGGCTCCCGAGACGGCCCGCGGGCCCCGCCAGACGGCCCCCGGGAGGCCCAGAGGGCTCTTCCGAGAGGCGCCCCAGGAGGTTTCCGCCGCTGGCCCGGGAGGACACAGCCACCCAGGACTTCGGGACTTCGGGGATTCTCGATGCTCTTCGGCACATGGGAGCCCCACGAGTCTCCAGAGACATCCAAAGATCCCTCCCCTTTCTTCTGATCTAGCCAGTCCGCTCACGGGGAGACCAGCGAAGAAAACCGAATTCCTGCACACCGACTGGGTGTCACCACCAAGTGCCACTGGGGACCCTTCGGGACTTCGACGATATATCCTTCGACAATGGACACCCTAACAATCCTATCATTGAATTTACAATGTGTGCAAATGTCGGAAGCATGTTCTTATACATGATTGTTTTGAAAGTTTAAAACATGTTTCTGCATGTTTTAGACATCTGGAGAGTGTTTGGCTAAATGCCTCCTCTCCACTGACCGTCCTCCACACGTGCATCTCGTGTTCGATGCTGTCGCCCGCCGCACGTGGGCGTCTTGCTCATACCTCCGCCGCCCTCCGCCAGCGAGCCCGCCGCCGCTCGGCTTCTGCCGGCCTCCGCCGAAGGCGCGGTGCGGCCAAGGCGCGGCCTCCACGAGCCTCCAAGGACATCCAGAGGCGCCCCAGGACGGGCCCCCAAGACGGCCCCAAGACCGCCCCAAGACGGCCCCACGACGGCCCCAAGACGGCCCCACGACGGCCCCAAGACGGCCCCACGACGGCCCCGAAGACGGCCCCCAAGACGGCCCCAAGACGCTTCAAGCGGACCCTCAGACCGCCGCAAGAGTCACCCGGACTGCCCTTACAGTGCTCTCCTGGACCTCCACGACGCCCAAGGCGGCCCACGAGACTCTGAGTCGGTAGGTTCTTGAAGGATTCACGCGTTCTCGCCGTTCGGGCCTCAGAACGCCCAAGACGGCTGGCATACGCGCCACGTCACGACTCTCGATGTTGCGCGCAACTCCGCCAAACGCGCAGGGAGCGGCTGGTGATGCGCCGCCAGCGCCCCCGATATACGTACACTTCCGGATGTCCGCGCGGATTGCTTGGGTCGGCGCTGGACCCCATCCCTGGCGCGCGAATGAAGGGAAACTGGGACACACAAATAAATAGACACAAATAACAAGATTCCACATATTTTCCCATATTTTCTGGGTTCCTGTCTTCCCCCCCACTCCCCATCTTTTCCTATATTTTCTCGGGAATCGACGATTTATTGTGTCTGTGTGTTTTTTCCCCTCCTGAGCGAAGCGCGCCAGGGGCGGCGCCAGAGGCGCCGCCAGGGCAGGGTCCGGCGCCGACTCGAGACACCTGCGATGACTTCCTCCGACAGTTTATGTCTGTGCCGCTCTGTGTCTCTCGACCTCTGCCACCCGCCACGCGTGGACGTCTTGCTCTGATACTGCCGCCGCACTCCACCGGCGATCCGCGCGGAGTCCGCGCGGATCCGAGAAATCCGCGTGGATCTCCGAGTTTTGATGCTTATGTCATTCCTCGTTCCCCGATGCTTCCGCTGGCCTCTGCCGAAGGCGAGGTGCGTCAAAGGCGGGGCCCTTTCTGTAGCGCCCTGCTGTCGCCCAAGTACTCCGCCTCCTCCTCCTCCTCCTCCTCCTCCTCCTCCTGCTCCTCCTCCTCCGCCTCCTCCTCCTCCTCCTCGTCCTCCTCGTCCTCCTCCTCCTCCTCCTCCTCCCCCTCCTCCTCCTCCTCCTCCTCCTCCTCTCCTCCTCCTCCTCCCTCCTCCTCCTCCCTCCTCTCTCCTCCTCTCCCCTCCTCCTCCTCCTTCTCCTCCTCCCTCTCCAGCTGCTCCCGTTCCCTGCGCCGCACCTCGGACAGCACCGCGCCGTGGTGCGCGCCGGCGGCCTCGAAGGCCCAGGAGATGTTCTGCAGCTCGGCCTCGCTGGCCGTCCGCAGGCCCGGAAGCATCAGGTCGCCGAGGCGCTGCGGGGGGATGGGGGGAAGACCCTTCCAGCATCATCATCATCATCATCATCATCATCATCATCATCATCACCACCACCACCACACACCACCACCACACCACCACACACCACCATCATCATCATCATCATCATCATCATCATCATCAATCATCATCATCATCATCATCATCATCAATCATCATCATCATCATCATCATCATTACCAGCATCATCATCATCATATCAGCATCAGCATCATCAGCATCATAATCATCATCATCATCATCATCATCATCATCAGCATCAGCATCATCAGCATCATCAGCAGCGTCTATCATCAGCATCATCATCAGCATCATCCTCATCATCGTCATCATCATCATCATTACCAGCAGCATCATCATCAGCAGCATCAGCATCATCATCATCATCATCATCAGCAGCATCATCATCATCATCATCAGCATCATCATCATCATCATCATCAGCATCATGAGCATCATCATCATCATCATCATCATCATCATCATCATCATCATCATCATTACCAGCATCATCACCATCATCACGATCATCAGCATCATCATCATCATCATCAGCATCATCATCCATGACGACGTTTTCTTATTCGGCATTTCGACATTGCGCGGAAGGGGGGTGAGGGGGTGTGGCTCAGGACCTCTGCTTGACGCCACTCTTTGCAACAGCGCGTCGTATGGAGGAGACCCCGGCTGCTCGAAACAGGCGCCAAAAACAGCCAAGCTGTACTCCATGAGGGGGGGAGGGGGGGGGGTGCGAGGGCCCGCGCCGATCGGCAAAACAACGAATAAGAAAACGATCACCATCGCAAAAGCTGTTCGGATGTCGAGGCTCGAGCGCTGAATCATCAGCCCAAATAATACTGCACACCAAAGAGCAAGCCCCTCAAATATTGAGCTGTGTAAGCGTGTGCGATAAACGCATGTACAATACAGGCAGGGGAGACGCAGAGAGATGTCGCCGATGCTGTTTAAAAGTGTATCACTGTCTGATGTGGTTGACTGCGATGTGCTAGTGATACTGATGGTATATAAGACATGATCTCACATGTGTCCAAAATGTGCTTACTTAAAGGCCGTGCGCGGATCAAGGTATGTGCTGTAATCAGTTCGTTGAGAAAGCCACTTCCCGTCTATCCGGCGCTGTACTGTGCTGCTTGCGCGCTGTACGAACACCGACCCAAATTACCCTGGCGATGTACCCAACCCCTGCGCAACGCGTGGCCAGAATAAATGGGTAGGCGTTATAGGGTTGATAACGTGGCAACGGAAATATAGTTCTGCGAACCTCACTTGGGAGGCTCGCGAGCTGCGCGACTCGCAAGACACCGATCGATGGACAAGGGCGTGATGGAAGTTAATTGTCGGGTCCCTGGGGCTAGGTCCCGCTCTGGTCTGCGTAAGACGTCGCTCCGCTGGACCCTCCAACAGGCCTTGAAAGTAGCAACAAGATCGCAATTCGCAGCCCCCCAGCGACGGCGAGGTCCCGCTCTGATTTGAGGAACACGGAGGAGGAGGTGGAGGAGGAGGAGCTCAAGCCCATTGAGGAAAAGGGAAGAATTAGTCAGGATCGAATCGGGAAATCGGGTCGTATAGGAATGTGCGTCGAAGCGGGCTGCATCTGCATGGAGCCGAAATCGAATCGGATCGCCGGCGCCAGGATGCACAGCAGCGCCATGCAGGTATCGATCTGTGGATCGCGCTGTAGCCGAGTGCGGAGAGGGAGCGGCAGCAGCAGCAGGAGGAGGATAACTGGGAGAAGCAGGAGCACGAGCACGAGGAGAGCAGCAGCTGCAGGCCGCCCGTCCTGGAAGAGGCCCGCGTTTGCCCGCCCCGCCGTGGCGAAGGCCCAGGACGTCATCACCAGGCACCTGAAGCTGAACTCCCCTGACACCTTGGGTGGCAAGTCGGGGAGGGCAGGGGAAAGGGAACGAGATATACATACCTATATGTGTAGGTAGTTGTTCGCCAAGGAATGCAACAACAAGTTCAGAGGTCATACATGTGTATACACACATACGTACATACATGCAGACATCTATACATCAGCTTATTCATACCTACATATAGAAATGAATGCATACACATGCGTACATACATACCTGGGCATCTGCGTCTACATACATACATACATACATACATACATACATACATACATACATACATACATACATACATACATACATGCATACTAGAACCACGCGCGCGCTTCGCGCGCGCTTAGGTTCTAGCTAGGAGGCGAGCTTGAGCCAACGAAAGTCGCAGGGAAGGGGGCAGGGGGAAGAAGGCCAGAGAGCGCTGAAGGATACAAATACTGGAACCCTCTTGTGATTTTGTGGGGGGCCTCGTCCGGCCGCTCGCTGGGAGTTTGACGTAGCTTCTCGGGAGCCTCTGAACCTGTCGGGGGCCTCCTGGAAGCAGGTTCGAAGCATTTTGGGGGCCGATTTGGGGCTTCTCGGGGCCTCCTTTGGGCCTCTTGGGGGTCTCCTGGGGCCTCTTGAGGGGCCTCCTTGGGGCCTCCTGGCGGCCTCTTGGGGCGGAAGGCTCGAGCTTGCGGTTCGTGGTCCCCCTCTGGGCCCCCTCTTGGGCCCGTCTTGGGGCCCTCTTGGGCCATCTTGGGCGCCTCTTGGGCCGTCTTGGGGCCCTCTTGGGCTGTCCTGGGGCCCTCTTGGAAGCTTCTTGGGCCGTCTTGGGGCGGTCTTGGAGGCCTCTTGGGCCGTCTTGGACGCGGTGAAAGCCCAAGATGCGAACATGCGAAAATATACGTTTTCCCATAGGAATGGCACGATTTTTGTTTCTTGGACCTCTCTTGGGGTGCCTCTCGGAACGTCTTGGGCTGATTTTGGAAGCCTTTTGGCGCCTCTGGGCGGCGTTTTGGCGCCTCCTGGGATATGTTGGGCCGGAAGCTCGGAATTCGAGAGTGGCTTTCTCCTTCTGGGACCCCTCTCGAAGTCGTCTTGGGGTTCTCTTGGGCCGTCTTGGGGCCGTCCTGAGCCACTCGTGCGCAGCCTTGGAGCGCTCCCGGAGGCCTCCTAGGCCGTCTTGGAGGCCTCTTGGGCCGTCTTGGACGCGGTGAAAGCCCAAGATGCGAACATGCGAAAAATATACGTTTTCCCATAGGAATGGCACGATTTTTGTTTCTTGGACCTCTCTTGGGGTGCCTCTCGGAACGTCTTGGGGTGCTTTTGGGAGCCTTTTGGCGCCTCTTGGCGGCATTTTGGCGCCTCCTGGAGCCTCTTGGGCCGGAAGCTCGGAATTCGAGGTTGGCTTTCTCCGTCTGGGACCCCTCTCGAACTCGTCTTGGGGCTCTCTTCGGCCGTCTTGGGGCCGTCCTGGGCCACTCGTGCGCAGCCTTGGAGCGCTCCCGGAGGCCTCGTAGACCGTCTTGGGCGCCTCTTGGGCCGTCTTGGACGCGGTGAAAGCCCAAGAGGCGAACATGCGAAAAATATACGTTTTCCCATAGGAATGGCACGATTTTTGCTTCTTGGGCCTCTCTTGGGCTGCCTCTCGGAGCGTCTTGGAGGCTTCTGGGACCTTCTTGGTGTCATGACAGGCGTCTTGGAAGGCATCTGGAGCCATCGGAGCGCGTTCCGAAGCCGCCTGCGAACGATCTTGGACGGCGTCCGGCGGTCCGACGAGCCTCCGGGCCCCCCGGGGCCCACATTTGTGGTCGAGGTCCCGGCCCCGGGCCCCCGGACCCGGTGCGCCGTTATATGTATACATATACATACCCATACGAATATGCATGCATACATGCATAAATCTCTACACCCGTTCATACACGCATACACACACATGCATACATATATATGTGTATATATATATATACATACAAACATACGTACAGACATGCGTACGTATATACACACATACACACACGTACATACACGCATACATATGTACAATCAAACATACACACATACACATACGCATACACATATACGCATACATATACATACACGTATACATACATACATGCACACATGCATGTATACATACATACAAACAGACATACAAACAGACATGCATACATACATGCATGTATGCAAACATGTATATACATACGTACACATACATACATACATGCATGCATACATGCTTACATACATATATATGTATATATACAAGGCTGCATAGGCGCTTCGCGCCATGCATCTTGTTCCTTGAAGCTTTGGATCGGCTGGCTTCTCGCGGTATCCTGCGGTCCCTTCGAGGGGTCCTCGCGGGCTCGCATTGCGAATGTGCAGAGGTTGCGGAGGGGGAGTGAGAGAACTTGGTGTTCGAAGCAACGAAAGGGGCAAATGGAATGCAAGAAAAGGACTTCAGAGGGAAACTTATCGAATCCCGGGTTCGCAACCAAATTTCTTAAAAAAAGGGTGCGAACCCAGGATTCTGACCAGAATGCAGCTTTATACTGCAAAATATGAGGCAGGGGGGGCGCGGGGAGGCGTGCTGACGCGACTTTGGGACAGGCAGGCTCTACGAACGTTATGTATGGGCTTCGTTCGGAAGGCTACGATCCTCGTGAGGGGTGCCGTTTCTGAAGGCCGTCTTGGGGCTCTCTGGGGCCGTCTTGGGCACCCCTTGGGCCGTGTCGGGGCTGTCATGGGCCGGTTTCGGACTCGCTTGGAGGCCTCTTGAGCCGTCTGGCATCGGTCTTGTGGGCGGCTTCGGCCGTCTTGGCACGTCGGAACAGTGAACATGCAAAGAAGCAAACATCTAATAAAAAAACATAGGAAATCACTGATGTTCATCTCTCGGGGGCTTCTTCGGAGGACTCTGGAAGGCTCTTGGGACCCTCTTGGGCCTTCGTAGGAGCCTCGAGAAAGCCTCTCGGGAGGTCCAAAGAGCCTCGTGTGTCCTCTCACCTTCCTCTTTGGACGGAGAGCGCTAATTTTCGCGCTCGGAGGCTGCGATCCTCGTGAGGGGTCCCGTTTCCGGAAGTCCCGGTTGGGGAGGATCCTATTTCGGGGGGGGGGGTCCCACCCCCCAGGATTATACAAATATAAAAAAGGGAATATATATATATATATATGTGTGTTTGTATGTATGTATGTATGTATGTATGTATGTATGTATGTATGTATGTATATATGTATGTATGGATGTATGTGTGTATGTATGTATGTATGTATGTATGTATGTATGTATGTATGTATGTATGTATGTATGTATATATGTATATATGTATATATATATATATATATATATATATGTATGGATGGATGTATGGATGTATGGATGTATGGATGTATGGATGTATGGATGTATGTATGTATGTATGTATGTATGTATGTATGTATGTATGTTTGTGTGTATATATGTATGTGTGTATGCTTGTATGTATGTATGTATATATGTACCTATGAATAACTACTTGAACCACGCGCGTGCTTCGCGCGCATAGGTTCTTGCTCGCCGCGTCGGCGTGAGCCGTTGAGAACGACCTGACCAGCTGCAACTGCCACGGGCAAGGCAGCAGCGCTCGGCCGTGCGTCCACCTCATCTCGCTGCGTTCGAAACGGAACGCGGGGGGCATTGCAACCACCCCCCAAATGGGGCGATTTGAGCCACATGGATACGGTCGTCTTCTATGTATATACACATGTATGTATAAACATGTGCATATACATATATGTGTGTATCCGCCCCGTGCCTTCAGCACGTAGTGGGGTGCGCAAGGCTCATGCAGCCTTGCAGCCCTGACATGTAGCGGGGTTGAAAAGCTCGTGAAGGCCAGAACCCGCAGTTTCCCAGCTGTTTGGGGGAGCTCTTGGGAGCCTCCAGCAGCTCTTGAAAACTCCTGAGAGCTCCCGGAAACGACCAAGAAGCGACCCAGAGGGTCCAAGAGGCCTTCAAGATGGCCCAAGAGCGATCCAAGGTGACATTCAATGGGTAATCCACGTTAGGGGGGGTAAAATCAATCGGATCGTAAGAAACCGTGTGAAACATGAGTTCGGCCCAACCATGCGGAAAAAAGACGCGGATGAGGGCGGGAGATCTTCTGGACCACTTCAGGGGAGAGAGGAACATGATATTCAAATTGAGCCGTCGTCATATAATTGTGGAGAGGGGGAATATGAGGGGAGGTGAGGTGAGGAGGCGGAGGCGGAGGAGGCGGAAGCGGAGGCAGGAGGCGGAGGCGGAGGAGGAGGACGAAGAGGAGGAGGAGGAGGAAGCGGGGGAAGAAAGGAAGCAGGGGAGGGGAGCGCGCTGGCCAGCGCTGAACGGCCCCGATCCAGACGGACGCAGAACCTGGCCCGCAGCGCGGTCGAAGATGGGCGCCGCCACTCTCAGCACCTGCAGGGATCCGCTCTTTCCATCTCTCCTCCTCCTCCTCGCTCTCCTCCTCCTCCTCCTCCTCCTCCTCCTCCTCCTCTTCCACCTCCTCTTCCTCCTCATCTTCCTCCTCCTCCTCTCCTCCTCCTCCTCCTCCTCCTCCTCCTCCTCCTCCTCCTCGTCGTCGTCCTTCTCCTCCTCCAGTTTCCCCTCCGTCGTCGTCGCCGTCGTCGTCGTCGTCGTTGTAGCCTACGCCGTGATAATCGCGGTCGTCGTCGCCGCCGTCGCCGCCCCCGAGGTCGCCCCCGACGCCCTGCCGCCTCCGTGCGGGCTTTCCGGGGAGCCCCTGGCACGCCCGGCAGAACTCGAGAGCATCGGCAGGGCTGGGCGGACTCTGCGCCGCACCCGGCCAGTGAGGGCCAGCTGCGCCACAGGAGAGCCCCCTCCTGCCTCCTGCCTCCGCCTCCGCCTCCTGCCTCCTCCTCCTCCTCCTCCTCCTCCTCCTCCTCCTCCTCCTCCTCCTCCGCCCCCTCCTCCTGCCTCCGCCTCCTCCTCTTCCTCCTCCGCCTTCTCCTCCTCTTTGTGTCGTCGTCGTCTCCTCCTCCTCCTCCTCCTCCTCCTCTCCTCCTCCTCCGTTTCCTCCTCCTCCTCCCCCTCCTCCTCCTCCTCCTCCTCCTCCTCCTCCTCCTCCTCCTCCTCCTCCTCCTCCTCCTCCTCCTCCTCCCACGCCTCCTCCTCCTCGTCCTCCTCCTCCTCCGGTTCCGCCTCCTGCCTCCGCTTCCGCCTGATCCGCCTCCGCCTCCTCCGCCTCCGCCTTTGTCTCCGCCTCCCCCTGCACATCCTCTTCAGTTTCCGCCTCCTCCCCTTCTCGCCATTTAGTTTCTGAGGCGCTGTTGCCGCTTTCAGATGGGCACAACATGGCCGAAGAGAGCCCCAAGAGGAACCCAATCAGCCCCTAAGACGGCTCCAAGAACAGCCAAGACCGCCCCAAGAGTGCCCCAAGAGGCGATTTTGAAGGCCGTTGCCATGTCGGACCAGTGCTATGACAGTCAGGCCGAAAGATTAGCCCGGGAAGCACCAGGCCCAAAGAAGCGGCAACATCGCTGGGTTCACCCAACGCAGCTCCTTTTGCGGGCTGCATGGGCAGCCTGAGCAGTCGAGGTGCACCCCGAGAAAGCTAAGCGAGGCGACGCCAGGAGGGGCGATTGCAGGCGTAGCACGTCGCTCTTATGGACCTCCCTGGAGCTCCCGAAAGTGGCGACAGTTGCGCGGCTGGAAGCGCCTGGGGAGTGGAGGTCCAGTTTGACCCTGGTCTCGTCGCCCCTGTGGACCTCCCAAGAGATCTCGAACGGCCCGACACTTGCAACACCCAGGGAGAAGAGGTCAGACCTAGCTTCATCCGCGCAAGACGTCACCCCTCTGGACCTTCCAGGTGCTCCCGAAAGTGACGACTGGTGCGCAGTTGGCAATGCCCAGGGAGTGGAGTAATGGCTTGGGCCAGCGCAGAACCGCGCTCTGCTGAACCTGTCAGAAGCTCCCGAAAGTAGCGACAATGTGTGGCAGCAGCAGGATGAACAGATGTAAGTTTGGCCTTGAGCCACAACGACGAAGTACAGTACAACCTTCCCTGAACAACATAGCGGACAATCCTGGCTGCCCCGTGAGCTGGAATGCTGGGCTATACAAGAAAGATCAATATGCTAAACCTATCAAAGGACACCTATCACATGGGTGAAATTTTCTCCTAGGTTTAGCATCCCCTATAGGCAGGACAGCGACTATACAAATAAGTCAGTGCTCAGGGAGAAGGAGAGAGAGAGAGAGGAGGAGGATCCCGGATCCCCGGACTCCGACACTGCGTAGCTCGACTGGAAGTCCTCCCACGAGATGAGTCGAGAGTCTTGGGTCAGCGTCCTCTTGGATGCTGCGTGGGATCGATCCTTGCTGCCGGGGTCGTGCTTGCGACGAGACATCTCCCCGTCCTCGTCCACCAGGACCAAGCGGCCGGTGGCGAGCAGGCTGCCTAGTGCGGCATTCCCCTTGCTGATGTCATCTTTAGTGAGGCTGTCTACTGGCATACGGGCGTGAGGGACCCATCTGATGTGGCCCCTAGCTCCTTCAAGAGCTTGACACACGGCTGCCAAATCCAAAGCGGTCCTCCTGTCACGTGCACTGGCGCTTCCCTCCTTTAACATAGTGTCATATATACTTTTCGCGTCCACAACATGGACCTGGTCCTCCCTTCCTCCGAGGCGGCAGTCCCGACGCAGGACCGTGGTGAAAGGCCCAGAGCACCGAGACATATCCGAGACATCGACGTCCCCGAAAACCACGTCACGATAAAGTACCTGAAGAAATTCGACCTCGGACACGGCCTGCGCCAGTGCCTGGGTCTCGCCTGCGAGGGTGGAAGTAACCTTACGGCGGAGCTTAGAGCTCCTCCAACCCAGGGTGGACGCTCTCACGGCACAGTTATCAATCACGCTCCTGTCCGTCGCCAAAACCACCCAGGCCCCTTGCGTAGGATCGGCGGGCAGACCGCGATCGTCCAGGAGGCCCTCATGGGCCCCGACTCCCCCCGCATCGGAAAAAGACACGAAAGCCATTTTCTCGGGATCGAGACGCCAGATCGTCAGGCCTCTTGAGGCCGTGGACCGAAGGTACCTCACCATTTTGTTGGCGACGGCCACGTCCCGGGTGGTGGCCGCTCTCAAGCGACTCACCAAAATGCTGGCCGTTCCTGCGGCCTCCGGTCTGGATTCCCGCCCGACCCAGTTCAGCTTGTAAATGAGGGACCGAAGGGCCTTAAACTCGGGCTGGGTGAGGGGGGAGTCCTTCTGTCCAAGACGCCCACGCTCGAGACTGATCGCTCGCACTTCCTCCAGGATGTACTTTTCCTGGTCCACCGTCGTCTTCTGAGGCCCGATGGTGACGCTCCTAACGGCGCACTCGACGGCCCCGGCGTGACAGCCCCGATACTTGCCGAAGCGAAACCTGGAGGTGAGCGTGTCCCTGATCCAGGCCCGGGACTCCTGGGAGTTGCTGGAGATGAAGAAATCGCCCACCTCTAGCAGTACCATATTGAGAAGGGTGCCGTCTGAGGCGTATCTCATCCACCAGCACGGTTCCAGGAGGCTGCGAGTGAAACCTTTCGACCTAAGATATGCGACGATTGTCTTGCGCCACGCAAGTGGTGCGTCGTCAAGTCCGTAGACGTTCGCCAGAAGCCGAACCAGGGACCCCGGTTCAACCTTGATGCCCTCGCATGGTTCCACGTATATTTCTCCCTGAGCACGGCTCATGGGATCTGATTGGCAAAAGGCATTCTTCACGTCGGCGATATCGCCGAAGTGCCCGAGATTCATCATCACTTGGATAAACATAAGAATGGACGAGGTCTGGGGAGTGGGAGAGTAGACAAACAACGACCCAGTGTCTGGGTCTTTGTGCCCGTGCACGCACCACCGGGACTTGGCGGTTGGTTCAGAAAACGTGCCCTCCACAGGTTTCCACCGCCGCACCATCCGACTCGTGATGATACGGTCGGGGCACTGCTCTCTGATCACTCTCGCCTCTCGGGGCGGAATGACCTCGACCGCCCCGGAACTGGCCATGCTCTGCCACTCGCTGTCATCCGAAATTTCAAACTTCGTCCGCTCAGCTGGAGTGAGCCTGCTCAGAGTGACCTCTCCCCCTCGGCTGGCCGCCAAGACCTCTCTGTGATCCTGAGGGGGCTCCTCAACCAAGAACACCCGCGCACTCTCGGCTCCCACCAGAAAAGAGCACATCCCGTCTCCCCTGAGTCGCGACTCGATCTCCTGCACCCTCCGACCGACCTGGCCTGGCCCCCCCTTCGGAGGGACTAGCGTCTGAGTTGGTCGCAGGGACCGACTCTAGCGGTGGCACTGCCTCGGTCGGCTCGAGACCTGGAGGGGGATCGATTCTAGCTCGCTTCGCGTCGCTAACCCCCGGGGGACAGCTGGCGGCCCGCGTCTCCGCTTGCCTCTGCCGAATGCAGGCGGGAACATCGCTCGGCTGTTGCAGCCGACCTCGGGGCGCTCTCCTTCCTCCTCCCGCGGCAGCGTCATCAGCGGCGGCAGCGGGAGAGGCAGGGGAGAGAGAGGAGGGAACCGGAGACGGGACGGGAGGAGGAGAGGAAAGAGGAGAGGCCGACGGAGGAGCGGAAGGAGAGGCGGCGGCCGTGGCCGACTCGGGAGACTCCTCCACCTCGGGTGTGTCCTGGCGAGTGGGAGGTTCCTCGTCTCCGTCGTGACTTTCTTCGATGACGGACGGGAGTCGAGTGACCTCGGACCCGGCCCTCGCCACGGCAGATCCTCCTGCTGACGAAGGCCTCGACGTGGGGTTCCTCGGAGGCCCGGGTCCGATGGGATCGAAACCTCGGCGGACCATCGGAGGTCCAGGAGGACCCAGGGGCCGCCCGTCAGGAATCTCGATGGACGGATCCGGCCGTGGCAGAGGCTCGGGACCAGTTGGCACGCTGGGTGCTGAGTCCGTCCCGGGATTCAGAGATTCGTCCCAGGCGTCGTCGGGAGGCGGGCCCTCTCTCTGCACGTCAACGGCTGTGGCACGCCTGGCCCGGGCCTGGGTCAGGAGCTCCTCCCAGCGCGGGTCCTGGGCAACCTGGAGGCCGTACTCTTCCTCAGCACTAGCGAGCCTGACCTGTTCTGGCGAGCACTTCCAAAGGCGGGCGCGCACTGCGACCCACACGGTGCCCCGCTCGGCCAGGACCACCACCCCGGGGCCGGCCCAGGCATCCCGGCGACGTCCCAAGGTGTCCGCCCGGGGCCCCGCTCGCGTCATGCGGCGCCACACGAAAACCCACTGGCCTGGAGTGAACGACACCTGGGCCTGGCCTGGACTACGGGCCTTACTAGCCTTGGCAACCTCATCTCGAGCAGTCGCCTCCAGAGCTAACTTGCGAGCGAGCTCCCTGACACGCTGAGACCTGGCGAACTCGGAACCGGCCGAATCGAGCTCCGAGGCGGGCCGAATGGCGCCCT